AAGGAGTCTTCCTAAAAGTAGGACTCTTATCTCTTGTAATCTCCTATTTAAGGAGCTGATATTATTCAATGAAGGCATGGAAAATTTCAATCAAGAAAGAGAGCAGAGGAGAGCTGATATTATTCACCATTAGGGTGCCAAGATAGGTTCTTCAAGAAAAGGGAGGAACAAGGGAAAACAGGAGGTTTTCCCCGTGGACCGACCCCTGACGAGATCCTATTCGCGGGCCCATAACAACTATGTGGACAAGAAAAAGAATCTGTAAATAATATAAAATTTCAGTGCCATTTTGCAAGATCTATATGGATGGGGTTACGGATTGGCATTAACACTAATGATGTGGGTCAAAAACTCATCCATGAAGTAGTTGATGAATGACAAGAACACAATTTGAAAGATTGGTCCAAACATGAAGAGGATGTTATGATGCAGAGATTTGCTATTGCAATATGGCTGATTTGGGACTCTTGGAACAAAGTGATTCATGAAAATAAACATCCAAATCCCAAAGTGACCTTGGTAGAGAGCTACACCATTCAGGACTTGTATGAAAAGAGTACAGCAGAAACGAATCCTCATACTGATAATTGCTCAGACAAAATTTCAGTTATTTGTTGATGGGTCTCATGATCCAATATCAGGGTTGGCAGCAACAAGTTTTATTATCTTCTCAGGTGCTAATACAGTCATTACGGCTGAGAGAGAGAGAGAGAGACAACAATGTAAAGCTCGGAATGCAGCAGATGAGGAATGGTGGGCATTTCTTAGAGGTTCAGAAGCAGCTCAAGTGACAGAAATCAAAGAACCGACAGTATATTCCAATGCTAAAAACCTTGTATAGATGCTAACAAGGAGACATGCTGCTGGCTTGTGGCTGTAGATGTGAAAAATGTGACTTACAGAATAGATCTCTAAATGTGCAGGCCAAGAAGATAATTTCTTCTTCCCAGGCCAAACAGTTTTAACCACATGAACACATCTGACTAAAAGGTTCTTCCTTAACAAAACATTAGCAATATCTTCTGCTTCTAAATTCTTATCAAATTCCAGTACTTCCTTGAGCTTTGGATGATTCCTCAGAAAGCTAACAAAATCCTTTCCTCTGATATATTCAATCCAGGTTCCTATAAAACAGCTCATCAAGATTATAAATCCTTATGGTCCTCACCTTATCAGCAAACAACTGAAACACATTCTTCTTGCCATCTTGCTTCTCCAACAAGAATATTATGAACAAATTAGAAAACTGTACTAATAAAGCAAGCGAAATACTACATTCAAAGAATTATTCTCAGTTCAGTAAGCCAAAGCACATTTTTATCCATTAGAGGAGAGAGAGAGAGAGAGAGAGAGAGAATTGTATGAAATGTTTTGTATAAATCTAACTCCTCAATTGGAAATGGTCAAAACACCCTAGCCAATATCAATGGTAGGATTTGTATGGAAATAAGTTAGTACAGGAGGTTAATATGCTTATTTATCTAATTACAGAAAGACTTTCCTATTGGCACATAAACCAAAGTTGGTTGCATTGGAGGGAAAGGTAAACAACTTTAATTTTGATGGTCAGTTGTTAGAAAACCCCAGATACTCTAGAGTTGATTGGGATAAGGAATATGTCTTATATCTGAACCATTTACTCCTTACAAGGCAGAAAGGCTTAGCATTGGCATATTCTTCATGTTTGAGTTAGCTACTGGTTGAGTGGGACTATGAAGTAATGATAAGGTGGATGCAGTGGCTGAGAAATGTCCTTGGTCATTCTGGCTATTTTAGAGGCCAAGGTCTTAGCTGTCCTATTGAACAGTTCCAAAACAACTTCCAGAATACAGAGGTTGAATAAATTATCAGAACAAATTTTGATAAACTAACCAAAACAACTTCCAGAATACAGAGTTTGAATAAAACTTTTCCAGATAAATTGTACTAAAAGTTATAGAGAGTTACTGTCCTAACAATGAGTGGTTAAAGGGACAAGAAATCAAATAATTCTACTTTGCTGACCAAGAAAAAACAGCTGTCTGGTTGACCTGGACCATGATTGTCTTAGCTATGCATCAAGACTGGCAAGAGAAGGCAAGAGAAGAAGTTCTGCAGATCTGTGGAAAAAGAACACATGATATCGATGCTATATCCCACATTAGGCTTGTAAGTTCTTCTGTTCTTCCCTTTACCAATTAGGCATTGTAGTTTCATTTCCTAATAATAGAATATGGCAAAATCAAATATATATGAGTTTCCCATTGCACCTATTTTTTCAGTGAAGCACTTCAGCCTAAGCCTGACCTATCTTTTGTTAGACCAAAGACCAACCCATGAGCTTCAAGATACATCCCTATCTGGCCTAAAGTAGGACTGTTTGGTGCTCTATTGGCCATCTTGTCCTATGTACTGTTCTGCTTGGTAACACTTGTATCATTGTCATGGACTCTATTCCTAGAAGTTTGCCTCCTACTTGGAACACCATCCAACCACACTTAATATGCAGTTATCTGCTACTAACAAACCACCCTTAATAATTTTCAGAAAAATTAATATTTATGAATAACAGTTTTAAAATCTTTTTATAATTATATATTTATACATAGTAAAATTAATATTTATTGTATTTTCTGGTCTAGGGACTGGGTATCTAATATTCCCATTTGCAATTCATAAAAGTGAAAATTTGGGTTTATGAAGTATGTAAAAGGCCAGGATTAATTAAAAAGACCGTGTTAAAGGAGTAGCATCAATTGTAATGGTTAGGTTATGGGTCTCCCTCCTTTGCAGGTGATGCACAAATCTCTACCACTAGATGAGGCCATGATAAGAAAACCAATGCTGAAAACACCCAACACCACCACTGTTTTCTAACAAACACATCAAGTTGCCTCTACAAGCTATCACCTGCACAACTTGTCTTTATACCACAAGAAACACCAATTAACAGCAGCATACTTCAACAAGAAACAGTTCTCAATCGATAAAACTCAATAAAACAAATCTTGAATAACAGATAACCTCATAAACTTAACAA